ATTTAGCAGTAAAAGATTCTCTTAAAAATGTGTGGGTAAAAATGTAATATGGCCCCTCTAAAACAATGTACTATTGGGTGAATGCACATTGAAAATCTCCATCAGTATGATGCATGAAACTCATTGAAGAGAGGAGAAGACTTCTGACATTCTGCAAAGGAACAAATCTCCCTGCTGGCTCATGACAAGAATACCAAAGGCTTTCTAGCTGCAGCTGAAATCTTGTCTGTGAGACAGAAGGAGCATCCTGGGATGCATTTGTTAAGAGGAAAGACAACACCGTGATTGGGCTCAAGTGAATGCGAATGTGTAATCTTCCAGGTTGGAATGGCTAACATTGGATCATAATTAGAGACAATAAGATCTTGCTTTCAGCAGAATGCATACTGCTATAACAAAAGAGCACATATCAACAGGAGTCATATAAAACATAGAACAAACAAAAATGGGATTTTTAAAAAAAAAAAGCAAGAAAACTGCATAACTGCAAAGGCAAAATATTTGAACAGAGTATCAGCAATTTATTTATTTTCAAATCTTGTGTGACTCATATGATTCAGGCCTAAGGTAGACATCTGGTAGCTCTAGAATTTGTAAGAATAGCTCAAATGTCTGAATTTTTTATGGGCTGTTGGTGCTGAGAATTGCTTAGTCTTAGCAGGCATGCTTTTGAAAAATTTAAAAACTCCTGGTATCCTATTAGCAATGCCTTTAAAAACAATACTGCACTTATCCAGATATTTTTTGTTAGTATATACACATCAGTACTCTAGTATGCTATGCAGTATTTGCCCTTGCACACGTAGTACACTCTAGTGTGCTACTAGTGTTAGTGTAGGTACATTTACAGTATTATGGTATGACTAAAATGTGTGAGTCTATAATTAGGTCAGGTTCCTGTAGGTCAGGCTAGGTGACTCAACAGGTTGGGACTCTATTGTCTCCACCTGGTTCTGGAGGACCATGGAAGCTTCCAGAAGCCAGTGGCTAGGAGGGGTGGTGTCAGGAAAGGCCTGCCCATAGTGCAGGTGAAGTTCCATTGCGCACAAATATGCTCATGCGCAGAGTCCTTACGAGCCAAACAGATGTGCAGGCACTTAGACATAGGCGCGCACACGTGCGCACATGCATGCACACTCGCATACTCACACGCCTGTCACTAATGCTGGTGCCAAAAGGGCTATTTAAACTGGCTGCAGTAGTTGTCCCTTTGCCATATGGTCTTATCCCTGCTTGTGTTCCCTGATTCCTGTGATTGTCTCCTGATACCATACCAGCTTGTTCCTGACCTCCTCTTGACCACTACCTGCCCTGTCCTCTGGCTTGCCTTGGATTATCCTTCTGTCTCTGCTCCTGTCTGATTGATCCTCCATTGCTGACCTGGCCTGTGACCCGACTACTCTTCCTCCTGTCGCTTTAAGCCTGATCCGCCTGACCAATACCGAACCCGGCTCGTCTGACCCTGTATCCTCAGCACGCTGCTCTCGGGTATCCAAACATCCAGCATGGCTGCTGTCAGGGCTCCGGGTATGACCAGAGGTATGTGAACTGACGTAGGGAAACGCAGGCTTCAGATATGTTATAAACAATATCATTTATTAATACTAACAATACAAAACGCAGTGCAATACTAAAACATAAACACAGTGCAACGAACCAAACCAAACCACCCACAGATAACAATACATACAATGCAAGCGTAGTCAGGCAGGCCGGGTCAATAACAATCGGGCAGGTAGGAACAGGAGGAGCAGGCAGAGACTAGTCAGGTCACGAGCCGGGTACAGCAACTAACGGGCAGGTAGGTACAGGGGGTCAGGCAGAGAATGGTCGGGGTAACAAGCCAGGGATCAAACAGGAGAAGTCAGCAGAGGTCAGGATCAAGCAGGGTCGGCAACAAGTCAGTTAGGCAGGAACAGGAACAGGAATGCAGGTAACAAGATACAGGGGCCCATGGAAAAACACACACCAAGGCCCAGACTGCAGGTCTGGCCATTCCTTAAATACACCTCCGTAATCAGCTTCAGGTATTTGGCTGACTGCAGGGTTGAGTCTCTGATTGCTGAGAGCAGCCGCTGGCCAGCCCTGGTACTGCAGCCCACAAGGCAGGTGAGTCCCACCATTACTGGCAAGTCCATTCCTGACAGCTGCATCAGGACCCTGCTCCCTGCCTACAACTCATCAGCTTACCAGCTATTACTGGACTGATCACAGGCGCTTATACCCCACCGTGCCCCTGAGACTGCTGTCTCACCATCAGCGGTCCTTGAGCCGGAGTTGTACGGAAGGCCTGCTGTAGCAAACTTGCGCATCAGAGATGGACGCAGATTCTCCCTTTTATTAAAAGTATTCATTTATTCTTTATTATCCTTCCCCCTTCCTTTCTGAGAGGCACAATGACAGATGTGTGTGTGTTAAAAGTGTCACAGGACAGATCCCAGCAGGGAGCCACATGGTGCCGCTCTGCCAGAGAACATGTGTAATTTCTCACCTCGTAACCAAGATAAGGCAGCTTTTCTCCAGGAATTGAAAGAGATTGTAACCTCATAAAACCTTATAGCGTAGGTGACAGAATTAAATGAACATTCCTCAAGTCAGTTTTTCCCCTATGTTTCATATCTTGAAATATGGAAGACTTACATAAAAACCGGGCACCTCGTCAGTTGGCCAACGCGCAGACGGACGTCCATTCGTTTCGCATGCTCAGGGAAGCAGAAACATAGATCTCGTGAACCGTGCGGCCTACAATCTCATAATTCATATCTACATGATCCTTAGACTTATTTGCATAATAAAATACCCGTGGAGAGATTGTCGCTTGTGCAGCTGGAAAGTTATAGGCCAAAATATGGATTATGAAAGATGTTGAGTATTGGTCAGTTACTCAAAGCCTTTAAAAACACAGGCTAGAAGGCCTAATAAGTAAGTTGAAGACATCTCCCATTTGTAACATCAATACCACCTGGGGAGACCTTTTCGCTCTGCAACTTGGATCTGCTTACATCAAAGGCTTAAATGGCAAGTAACTTAACCCTTTAACTTCTCCCTGTTATCTCTTTGCTGTGCTATAGTTCTTTGTGTATATATATACATATATATATATATATTATATATATATATATATATATCTTAGTTACATCTCTTTCCGTAAATATTTTATTGCACCTGTTTGACTCTTTTAGTAATAAATCTTTCTTTCTGAAAGTGTTAAACTGTTTCTAAAGCGCTTAATTGCAATTTACGAATTCCTGCCTCTAAAGAGACACTACTGTGTTTGTCTAATCCTCTGCCCAATCGGCCTGCGGTGACCGTATTGGACAGACGACTTTTCAACCATTATAGTGTATATTTGATAAAGAGAATTTCCTCTTTCTCTGTACAAAAAGGGGTGGTGGCAGTGAAGGGTTAGTTGCGTAATTAACCCGACCCAGTAACAATCGCTCAGGCTGACGGCACGGTTGACGATTAGCTGGAAAATCGTTATGCAGGCTGCAGCTGCATGTGGCATTGTTATGCACGTTACATTGTGGTTTTAGATCGGCCAGTCCTTCGGTCACGAGTTTGGTGAGAAGGTCTGGGGTCTGGCGCCGCGATCGTGACACCTGCCTCTTCACATCAGGTTCACTATCCAGGTACATGACAGGTGGGGACCTAAATATGCATGTTTTATGGGAGTCTGACCAAACCCAGGCTTGGAGGTCCTGGTAGTGTGATAAGGTTAACCCATAAATATGAGAGAGTCATGCTAGCGAGGAAGTCAGGTGGAAGATGGAATGCTGAGCAGGCTGCCCATGGCTTAGGAGGGGTTCCCTAGTTCTACTGGGGCTTGGTCTCCAGTCTGGGCTTGGGCTGGCTCAGGAAGATCCATTCAGCATCACAATATAAACAGGATCATTGTCTAGGAGCAGCAGGAGCAAGGAGGACAGAGTGAGTACATCAGCACACCTATGGATTTACAAGGGGAGAGACTGCAACATATAGCAAGCTTTCAAAGGACAGCCCTGTGCTTAATCCTTTATCCTTGTCCTAGGAGATCTTCAGAGCAGCCAGGAGGGCTGGTATTGTCTGCAGGCTGTTGAGCTGGAAGCAGTTCTACAGGGGAGAGGAGATACTTCTGCATGTAGCTTGCAACAATCTGTGCTAACTTTCAGAGGGTCTGAGAGTCCCCAGCCCGTAAGGAGAGTTTGCTACTGATCAGGGACAGATCTGGCTAGTCTGAGGTGGGGGTGCAGTGCAAAATGTCAGGGGGGCATAGGATAGGAGGTCAACAGGGCATTGCACATAAATAGGAAACAGTAATGGAGTGTACTGGAGTTCAGCAGGGCTGAGGATAGGGCCTAAAAGAGTACAGGGCAGGGATCAGCAGTTGGTAGGTCAGTGTACAGGAGATTAGCAGGGCAGAGGAAGGAAGGTTAGCAGGGCAGAGGATGGGTAGTCATCAGGGCAGAGGACAGGGGTCACTATGGTAGTGTACTGCAGGGGTCAGCAGTTTGTAGGCCAGTGTATAGGGGGTCAGCAGGGCAGAGGATGGTCAGTCAGCTGGGAAGTGTACAGGAGTCAGAATGGTAGTGTACAAGGGTCAGCAGTGTGCAGCACATATATTATGTTTTTAAAGGAGAATGTACCCTCTAAACAGTATAAACAAAATAAAACTCCCTCTAGGTTAGCTAAATAGGTTTGTTGCATGTCCCTGATGGTGGTAGTGGTGGATGCAAATCTTCATATGCTAAGGGTTTAACAGTCTGTTCTATATGGATACATTGCAAATGTTGGAGGTTGGTGAGGTGGTGGCCTGGTCTTTCCTAATATGCTCCAATGGTCTCGCTTTGGGGATGGCGCATAGTTCCAGTGATGTCTTTCTCTCACTGGGGAGTCTTGGGCTGATAGTTACGCCCAGGGGCGGACTGATCATTTGGAAACTCGAGCACTACCTGAGGGCCCAGGGTCAGTAGGAGGCCCCATGAGATGCCCCTGGTACCTTTTTCATATGCTTTTTTGAGTTTGGGCAAGGACACAGGGGCCCCATGATCCCCTATTGCCCGGGGGCCCCATGAGTTGTCAGTCTGCCCCTGGTTACGCCTGGATAGCTACATGCATCTTGGACTGTAATAGATTCTGCTATGTACTGCTCCTGATGAAGCGGCTTGGACCGCGAAATGCATACGAGTTCAACGGTGACCCTCTTTTCCCTCTTTGTATAACATGTAATTATAGTATTGTACATGGTCCTGTCTTGGACAGAGCATTTGGCTATCTTGACTTACAAGTGTAATACGGTCATAGAGGGCTGGATATTTGTTTTGGGTACACCAATAAATGATTCAGAATCTTTTCTCTTTTTAATGTGTTTTATGTATAATCTTTTTTATTATGTAAAAATAAAAATTTGTAAAGTAGATTACTTTCTAATGCAAGCCATAGATTATGTGATTTTCTTTCCTGCAACCACAAGTTGCAGGAAAGAAAATCGCTCGATTACCCCATCAACACAGTCTCCCTCCTTCAGTAATCACATGCAAAAAATCCAACAGACTGGTTGTACTGAAGCCAATCAATGGTTCAACTTCAGTACAACCAGCCTGTCCAAAGATGGATCGAATCTCGGCCGGTCTCTGCTGAACCAGCCAAGATATGATTCATCTATGGTGGGGTTTAGCTGCTCTAGACCTTTGGATACAATAGCAGCACCTATACATGAAATAATTATGGGGTGGCAAAACGTACACCAAATCTAATACAAACAGCTTTTGAGTATTTGGTAGCTCTAATTCTAAGTTTAACCAGAATTTTATTACAGTTAGTCCATGTGTAGGAGTATAGCCATCCCGGCACACAGGCGCTAAATGAGCAGCTCAGTATACATTCAAAAAAGATAGTGAGCAGGCAGGTACATTTCTTTTACCTCCTCTTTGGTAGAGCCAAAAACAATTATGTCATCTAGGTAGACAATGCACTGAGTGGAACAAAGATCTCCCAGTGACCGAGAGGTTGCAGGTGCACCAGTAATGCCATGGGACATGTGAACAAACTGAAAAACCCTGGTGTGCAAATAAAAACTGTTTTTTCTGATCTTCCTTACTCATAGTACTTGATAGTGTCTTAATCTCAAGCCATTGCCATTATCCATTTGCTGCCTTGCAGCGCATTAAAAGCTTTCTCAATGCGGAGGAAGAGTGTATTGATCTAGAACAGTTCTTCAACTAATGCTGGCCATTCACTATACAATTTTCTGTCCAATTTCTGCCCAGGTTTCTTTAGATTTACCTTCAACTGTGTAGTGCAAGGGCCCGCCTAATTGAATACAATTGAAAGTGCTGTTGAGGTTTGACCTCATATTATAAGGTTTTAGGTAAATTTAAAGCAATTTTCTAAAGAAAATTGTATAGTGTATGGCCAGCCTAAGAGTTCTGCAAGCAGCATATATTTGTACTTCACCATTTTTCTTACTTTCTGACCACCACTACTTGGGCTGCACGAGGGATTTTAAAGTTAACAGCAATCTTTCATATTTCATCTTTTGCAGACACTCTCAAACATCATCCAAATAGAAGGTATTTGTCTGGATCTCTCACTCTCTCTCTCAATTAGCATCATCCAGGTGAAAGTCTAAGACAGTTTCTTGCTTTTCAACTTTGGCAGGTGGTAGGGTAGGAATTAATTGGTAACCATATGCCACATTCTGCCAGGCTGGTATTACAACTGGGTCAGTGGTAATATTTCAGACCTAACACCACCCGTTCTTGGACATTTAATAAGATAGTATTTTATTTCAGTTAATATTTCCCCACCATTCTTTGCAGCCTCTTTAGAATCAGTCTCTAGCAGCTAATAGCTGCCAATTGCCCCTGGTAAGATTTACATGTAATCCTGCAGAACTCTATCTCTCCACAGTGGAAGATCTATTGGATGTTCCCTAAACATCCTCCAGGAAGATCAGAGGCAAGAGCTTGGAGGTTCTGGAGCTACAGGCAATGCAGGCAGGGGGATTTGCTTCTGTGACTGGAAAACCCATTTGAAATCAGCCTCAACTGCTTGTCAATGGAGCCTACATTCATAGCAACAGACTCATTCCCCCAAGGTGGAGGGCTCACAAAGGCAATTACTTTGAGTGAAGTTTCCTCATCAACTATAGAGAGAGGAAGGGATATAATACACAACATCCCTAACGAATACAGGGGGGGGGGAATCCTCTTTTTTGGTGGGACTTTAACGGCACAATTTACTTGTATGATAAATTTCAACAATTCAAAAGAGATTTTTTTATAAAAACAGTATGAAATTTTTTTTTGCAATCTTCAAACATAAATATAAAGCTACAATACATATTACAGCAGTGTCATCAGAGAGGGTATTGCAAATCTAATCATGGATCATGCATGGTTTTTACTTGACGCGTTTTGAGATCAACAAAAATCTCTTCTTCAGAAGTACTCAAGAAAGCATGACGTATGATTCCATGTGAGGTAAAAACCGCCAGGAAATATTAAGAACAAATTGTTATGTGAACACAGTCATGGATTTCTCATATATCTCAGGCAAAAATGATGAAACAGAAATTAATAAAGAAAAAAACTGAGACCAGTGGATGAAAAATGCCGCCCAAATGCTTCCTGAAGAGGCCCCGCCCAAATGCACCCAAGGGCCGGGGTCAGTAGGGGGCCCCATGAGATTCCCCTGGTACCTTTTTCATAGGCTTTTTTGAGTATGGGCAAGGACACAGGAGCCCCACGATCCCCTATTGCCCAGGGGCCCCATGAGTTGTCAGTCTGCCCCTGGTTACGCCTGGATAGCTACATGCATCTTGGACTGTAATAGATTCTGCTATGTACTGCTCCTGATGAAGCGGCTTGGACCGCGAAATGCATACGAGTTCAACGGTGACCCTCTTTTCCCTCTTTGTATAACATGTAATTATAGTATTGTACATGGTCCTGTCTTGGACAGAGCATTTGGCTATCTTGACTTACAAGTGTAATACGGTCATAGAGGGCTGGATATTTGTTTTGGGTACACCAATAAATGATTCAGAATCTTTTCTCTTTTTAATGTGTTTTATGTATAATCTTTTTTATTATGTAAAAATAAAAAATTTGTAAAGTAGATTACTTTCTAATGCAAGCCATAGATTATGTGATTTTCTTTCCTGCAACCACAAGTTGCAGGAAAGAAAATCGCTCGATTACCCCATCAACACAGTCTCCCTCCTTCAGTAATCACATGCAAAAAATCCAACAGACTGGTTGTACTGAAGCCAATCAATGGTTCAACTTCAGTACAACCAGCCTGTCCAAAGATGGATCGAATCTCGGCCGGTCTCTGCTGAACCAGCCAAGATATGATTCATCTATGGTGGGGTTTAGCTGCTCTAGACCTTTGGATACAATAGCAGCACCTATACATGAAATAATTATGGGGTGGCAAAACGTACACCAAATCTAATACAAACAGCTTTTGAGTATTTGGTAGCTCTAATTCTAAGTTTAACCAGAATTTTATTACAGTTAGTCCATGTGTAGGAGTATAGCCATCCCGGCACACAGGCGCTAAATGAGCAGCTCAGTATACATTCAAAAAAGATAGTGAGCAGGCAGGTACATTTCTTTACCTCCTCTTTGGTAGAGCCAAAAACAATTATGTCATCTAGGTAGACAATGCACTGAGTGGAACAAAGATCTCCCAGTGACCGAGAGGTTGCAGGTGCACCAGTAATGCCATGGGACATGTGAACAAACTGAAAAACCCTGGTGTGCAAATAAAAACTGTTTTTTCTGATCTTCCTTACTCATAGTACTTGATAGTGTCTTAATCTCAAGCCATTGCCATTATCCATTTGCTGCCTTGCAACGCATTAAAAGCTTTCTCAATGCAAGGAAGAGTGTATTGATCTAGAACAGTTCTTCAACTAATGCTGGCCATTCACTATACAATTTTCTGTCCAATTTCTGCCCAGGTTTCTTTAGATTTACCCTTCAACTGTGTAGTGCAAGGGCCCGCCTAATTGAATACAATTGAAAGTGCTGTTGAGGTTTGACCTCATATTATAAGGTTTTAGGTAAATTTAAAGCAATTTTCTAAAGAAAATTGTATAGTGTATGGCCAGCCTAAGAGTTCTGCAAGCAGCATATATTTGTACTTCACCATTTTTCTTACTTTCTGACCACCACTACTTGGGCTGCACGAGGGATTTTAAAGTTAACAGCAATCTTTCATATTTCATCTTTTGCAGACACTCTCAAACATCATCCAAATAGAAGGTATTTGTCTGGATCTCTCACTCTCTCTCTCAATTAGCATCATCCAGGTGAAAGTCTAAGACAGTTTCTTGCTTTTCAACTTTGGCAGGTGGTAGGGTAGGAATTAATTGGTAACCATATGCCACATTCTGCCAGGCTGGTATTACAACTGGGTCAGTGGTAATATTTCAGACCTAACACCACCCGTTCTTGGACATTTAATAAGATAGTATTTTATTTCAGTTAATATTTCCCCACCATTCTTTGCAGCCTCTTTAGAATCAGTCTCTAGCAGCTAATAGCTGCCAATTGCCCCTGGTAAGATTTACATGTAATCCTGCAGAACTCTATCTCTCCACAGTGGAAGATCTATTGGATGTTCCCTAAACATCCTCCAGGAAGATCAGAGGCAAGAGCTTGGAGGTTCTGGAGCTACAGGCAATGCAGGCAGGGGGATTTGCTTCTGTGACTGGAAAACCCATTTGAAATCAGCCTCAACTGCTTGTCAATGGAGCCTACATTCATAGCAACAGACTCATTCCCCCAAGGTGGAGGGCTCACAAAGGCAATTACTTTGAGTGAAGTTTCCTCATCAACTATAGAGAGAGGAAGGGGATATAATACACAACATCCCTAACGAATACAGGGGGGGGGGGGAATCCTCTTTTTTGGTGGGACTTTAACGGCACAATTTACTTGTATGATAAATTTCAACAATTCAAAAGAGATTTTTTATAAAAACAGTATGAAATTTTTTTTTGCAATCTTCAAACATAAATATAAAGCTACAATACATATTACAGCAGTGTCATCAGAGAGGGTATTGCAAATCTAATCATGGATCATGCATGGTTTTTACTTGACGCGTTTTGAGATCAACAAAAATCTCTTCTTCAGAAGTACTCAAGAAAGCATGACGTATGATTCCATGTGAGGTAAAAACCGCCAGGAAATATTAAGAACAAATTGTTATGTGAACACAGTCATGGATTTCTCATATATCTCAGGCAAAAAATGATGAAACAGAAATTAATAAAGAAAAAACTGAGACCAGTGGATGAAAAATGCCGCCCAAATGCTTCCTGAAGAGGCCCCGCCCAAATGCACCCAAGGGCCCGGGGTCAGTAGGGGGCCCCATGAGATTCCCCTGGTACCTTTTTCATAGGCTTTTTTGAGTATGGGCAAGGACACAGGAGCCCCACGATCCCCTATTGCCCAGGGGCCCCATGAGTTGTCAGTCCACCCCTGATCTGAGCTGAGCAAAAAACACACATTGTAGGAAGCATATATGTTTATTCAAAACAAACCAGTACCTTTCTGCGGTATGGACAAATGAATATACTTTTATTCTTGTACAAAGACTTTGAGCCCTGTCTCTTGCGTTTATGTCTTTTGCAGCCTTTAAAGTGGTAGTAAACTTGATAATGGAAAAAAAAAACCTTTTCCCTGCAAGGCAATGTCATAATTAGTGTTGGTCTATATGTTTGAGTCATGTACAGTATTTATGTATAACATGTATAACATATTTTAAAAAATGACTTTACAACTGCTTTAACTTACAGTGTGTGTACCATGTGAGATCCATTTTCCTCTACGCCCCTGACCATGTGTTCACCTATAGGTCTTACCCAATAATCCATTGCTATTGGCAGCTCACACTTGAGGACCACATCACAAATTACAGATGGCACAGCAGCCATAATTGTATCACAGGTCAGTAGTTCCCTTTGGTAAATGAACAGAAATAGTGATTATCACATCACTACACACTTAAAACCATTTAAATAAATAATATTTATAACTTTTGAATTTTGTTAAATCTTCTGATAAATCAACCAGCTCTGTATGAACAACTACACAAGTCCTCTAATCTTGATTAAAGCTTGGAAGTAACTGAGGATTCCATTTGGAAAACTGAATTAAATATGTATTTTATAGTGAGAATACAGTGAGTTGTGAAGCCTCTTAAAAGTGTTACTAAACCCAGGACCCTGCATTCACTATATCTGGTCTCCAACAGTACACAGAACACATGGAAGTGCAATTATTTTAGTAAATATAAACTGCTAAATACCTTTTCTCATCAGCAGTATATAGCAGTCTTGTGATTTCTATCAGTGTCTGGACATGCACTGCTTAATCTGTAGGAGGAGTTTTCATTCTTTGACTGTCCTATGAGGCTGCATAACCCCTGACCCTCTGTCTGGACAGTGCTGATTGGCCCTGTGCCGATCACATGCACCTTCCCAAAGAATAAAAAACCTCTAGCAATACGCACTAAACTGAGCATGTGTAGAGTGACTGCTAGAGCTCTGTACTATCAGCAGATAGATTTGGGACAATAGAAGAACTGGAGGATCAGAGAAGACAGGATCAAACAGCCTTTTTGCATAATGCGGAGGATTAACCCCTTAGGTTCCACAGTGAATATAACAAGCATGCTTTACTGCATATACAGACTGATTTTACTGTTGTGGGTTTAGTAACATTTTAAAGCTTATATGAGAAAGTGATGATGCTGCAATTCAAGATCCATGGAGGGCCTCCCTTCTCCCATATAAAACACTTTGTTCCTGGGCCTGACTAATGGCACCATTACTAGCCCCTCCAATCATAGATCACGGTTCATTCACATAAGCTGTAGCATCAGCTTCTAAGAATGGAGCAACTGGGCAATCCCTCTAATCCTGATTAACATTTTGAAAGAACTGAATAAATGAAGATATCCAAAATTTTAATAAAAATCCGCAAGGTCCTAACAAAACATCCACTACTACTATATGTATCAGCCAAATTACAAAGGCATGGAGCCTAGGGGACATTAATGTAAATAAATAATAAAAGCCTGGTTTATGGCTCTACCTGCTCACTTGCAATGGCCTTGTATATCTAAATTGTGTATTGCACATCAGGAACTACAATGTCCAGAACTCCACCTGACATATATAGTTCACAAACAATCTTTATTATACAAATAATTATTAAAACATGATAACAAAGAACACAATTAAAATCAAGCCAAAATTTCCCTCATCCTCAAGTGCAATAATATTTAGTATACTCAAATCTATATTATAGACAAATACAGTGAAGGAAATAAGTATTTGATCCCCTGCTTATTTTGAATGTTTGCCCACTCACAAAAGAAATGATCAATCTAAAAATTGAATGGTAGGTGTATTGTAACACTGAGAGACAGAATAGCAACAAAAAATTCTAAAGAAATGCATGTCTAACAAATTATGCACTGATTTGCATGTTCATGATGGAAATAAGTATTTGATTCCCTATCATTCAGCAGGATTTCTGGCTACCGGGTGTTTTTCATACAGGTAACAAGCTTAGATTAGAAGAAGTCTCTTAAAGGGAGTGCTGCTAATCTCATTTTGTTACCTGTATAAAAGACACCTGTCCACAGGAGCAATCAAACAATCAGATTCCAAACTCTCCACCATGGCAAAGACCAAAGAGCTGTCCAAGGATGTCAGGGACAAGATTGTAGACCTTCACAAGACTGGACT